CCCGGCCGTGCGTCCCCCGCCGCCTCCCTGGCGCAGCTCGAGGTAGGCCGGACCCTTCAGCGAAGCCCCGGCCGCTCTGAGCCCGATGGGAGCCGAACCGGAGGCAATCGCAGCCTTTCCCGGTTACCGAAGCGCTGCCCCCTCCTCTCCCACCGGAGCCTCCGAGGGACGTGTGTCTGCACGCCGAGAAGGGCGCCAGTTGTGCGGCGGGGAGCACGGCTCTCGGGGGGAGGGCTGCTCTTCTTGCAGGCGTCTCTTCTCATGTAACTCTTGCCGCTGAGCATCGCCACCGAGAGCCTTGAAGAAAGACAAGTGGAAAAATAAAGCAAAATGAAGCCACAGGACCTGGGGAAAGCGGATCGCTCCGGAATTCAGTCTAGACTGCACCTGCTTCGGTATCAGCTGCTCCACCTAATGAGCAGGCGAACAGCACTAGCTGTTGCAGGAGCTAGTGATCGCTGCAAGGACCCTTAAAAGCAGTAACAACAAAACTAAAAAAAAAAAAAGTCATCGATCCTGGACGGCTCCTCTTAACTTATGCACGAAGAGAGATTCCCTTAAATAGTTTTTTCTCGTATAACTCGTATCATAGAAAGAAACTAATAAGTAGAAGATCAATATTAAAAGGTGAAGTGTTCACTGAAAGGATGGGCTAGACAAACGTGGCTGCGAACGACCCTCTTGGAGACTCGTTTGGGTGCCCGACTGATGCAGAAGGGGCTGCCGGCCGGGGGCTACGCTTTTGATAGCTCTTGCGGGACTGTCAGGCTGGCAGCACAGGTACCACGCCGGGAGCCATTCGCCCAGCGGCTCAGTGTCGCTCCCTCTTCTCCGCATGGAGATGCAGGCCCCGGGGCCTGCCCAAGCTGCAGGGGCCCGGGTGGGCGACCGGCGGGAGGAGCCCGCAGTCCCGGTTCGTCGGGGCTCCGGAGAGCGGGGGCACATGGCCGGAAAGCGGAGGGCGTTGGAGAGAAGCGGCGTCGGGGGACGTGGATGAGCGAAGTTGCGGCGTTGGTTTTCTTTCCTGCAAAGTCCTCCTCTCTGGCGGACATCCCCAGCCGCGACGAGCGTTGGTTTCAATTGTTAGTTGTTTTAAAAGAAAAGGAAGAAAAAAGGAGGCCGACGCTGCCGTACTGTCTTCTCCAAACATACAGGCACACTCGCTGCAGCCTGGGAGGTCAAAATCCGTTGCCTTCGTTAATAACGAAAAGCCCAACACTCTGCGTGTTTTAGCGGGCATGGATTTAGTGGATCAAATCGTGAAAATCAGTTGTTCTCTCTGTCTTGTTAAAGTAGACAGGTCTCGTTACTCGCCACGGGCCCGGCGTGGCGCCCACCGCCGTAATTCTTGGTGCGAGGGGATTTATTGTTGCCGTTGCACATAACAACAGCAGTTGAGATCGGGCCCTGGGCGCCAGGGCTGCGTCTCCGGTGAGAGCGGAGCTCCTGGGGAGCCCGGGGATGATTAGTATTAGTATCAAAGCATCTTTCCAGGTGGAAAATCCGCATCTCCTGGGCACGTGCTGGTACGTACTGATAACAGGAAGGTGGGGTTGATGAGTGCTACCGGTGTCCTTAGAGCTCTGGCGCACTCAGGACGGCTGCTCCAGAATGGCTGCTTGTTCTCATGCCTTTTGTGCGTGAGAGCACCACGAGGAGAACTGAAAGTGGCCCTGATTTTAACCATACATCATTGCCCCTGTCTGCTAGGTCCATAAACTTCGCCTGCAGGCTGAAATAGCATTGACTCATCCTGAACTCTCTTCCAGTGGCTGATTACTGAAGTGGAATCTGTCTGATCGACTTAATAAGAATTTACCACTGCACTAAATGACGAAAACTTGTTTTTTGCATGGCTGGGTTTTTGCAGTTGATAGCATTTTGAGCTCTCCCTCCTGGAGGCAAATAATCCTCATAAATACTCTTATTCCTGACCTCATTAGTCAGATCCAGAGCCAACACCATTTTGAACTGGTGTCTAGAAAGCTGTTTTAGGTATTTCTAAACATGTTGGGAAGTGAGAAAAAACTGACCTGTGCACCTTGCAATAACAATGTAGGGTTCCTGCAAAGGACCAACAGCCTGGAAGACAAGGGCCGGATCGTCAGCTCCCTGAAGGAGAGGCAGTCCTCCAAGAGCCTGCTGGCGTGCGAGAACAGCGAGAAGGAATCCAGGTTCCGACGCACCGAGACAGACTTCTCCAATTTGTATGCCAGAGGTAAACGCTCTTTACAGCTTCTGCTTGCTCCAGCTCGGGCACGTCCTTTAGCAGTCTGCTCTCGCCTCCCTTAGAAGTGCAGCCACGTTCAGACCCTGCTTTTGCTTGGTTGTTTTTGAAGGAAGCTGTGGGGGGTGTGTGTGTTGTTTGTTTGCTGAGAGCCGCACTGGCGATGTGTACAAGTTTCCTGAAATGCAATTTTACATACTTTGGGCTGATCCTCTGCAGCTCAGCTCCAGCGGTTCCTCCGGGGTCACTCCAGATCCAGCCTCCGGGAAGAGAGTAATTTTATATTTTATTTCCTCCCCAGTAAAATAGCAATGAAACCCTCTGTGATTGCTGCTACGGGGCCATTGATGAGGAGGGTGGGGAAGGGAAATCAATCCCTTTGCGGGGCGGGGGGGGAGGGGAAGCGTTGCAGGAGAAGGGCAGGTGCGGGTTTGGGGTGCTCTTGGCCCCCGGCAGGTGAGTGCACCGCACGGCACAGCGTTAGCGCTGCAGGGCGTGCTTTTGGCCGGGGTGCTTCGGAGGTGCCCCCGCTGTTCCCGTGGGCGACCTGGGCTCGCCCTTCTCCGCCG